CAGAACGAATATACCCGTGATCAAGATACCAGCGGCAAAATTTATGCCGCTTCTCCGGATCGCATGGGTTTAAAGCCTACACTTGAATTGCACGGAACCTCCGAAATTTTCGTTCCAGTATTATCCGGTGTAAAGCATATCGGGTCGTGGTCACAGTGTTGTGCGATCCGACGATGCTGAGACCGGAACTTGTTGACACTTCAATGACTACAGCGTAAACTGAACAGTCGTCCGTGGTGGTGCTAGGCGGTCCGGGGCTCTTCATGTCACACACTCCCAGGTGTACGAATTTCTTCACTAGTTTTAGCAAGTACAGGGCGGTGACGGGACGCATTCCTGCGTTCATTACATTGTATTTTCTAGAATTTGATGCGGCGTTTAAACCGCGTTCATCGTACAGACGAATAATCAGTGCACGCTGAGTAACAGGCACGTTATGTGCTCCCGACTGCATTGTCTGCTCGTGTTCCATTATCTGTTATTCAATAACATTGACAAAAGTTGCAATACCTAACCTCGTCCTCAGCTGAGCTGCCATCACGTGCGCACATTCAGGCCGCCGTTTTGGTAAGCTACGCCGACTTCTCTGTGTAGCCAGCGAGACAAATACGGGACTAACCATCGATCGCTCCAACGCCTACGGTTGGCCATGACCTTCAGCACTTAGCGCGAAGTTAACTGACAGCTAAGGAACACCGGAAACACGTGGCTGTCTGTGCTCATCTCGCTCTTGATCAAACCAACCTCATGTCGGTGCGATTTTGGAGGTCACGCTTCTTCTCGGCTGAGCTCTGCACTAACTCACTTATCTGCGGAGCATTCCATACGTCCTCACCACTAAGATGAGGGGGAAGTTCAAATCTTTGCACGCGCAGTAGCATGTTGCGCATTTCGCTAAACATTGGATGGCCAATAGATGTTGGGGGAACAAACGTAAATGACCGGCGTCTCACCATAATCGAGCCACGGTTGTTTAAATGAAAGCTCATCGGCCTTCTTCCATTATATATATATATATAGCTGACTGAGGATAGATGACAGATTGCTAGTCTTTTCAGTTGTTGTTTATACATAACTACCTTGGAGTCAGAGATAAAATAGCCCACCTATTATATGTAGCTTATTGCTGCAGTACATCTGTACTTCGTCAATGAAATGTTATCATATTCTTATTGATCTTAAAAGTCAGTTATCACCCTTTTCCGCTACAGACGCCGTTCAATTTTCCAAAAGGATTTGTAAATTTACGGTCATTTTTACGTCTTAGTTTATAATCCTAGGTCCAAAATAATTAGACGGGCATCAGCAGTACACCGGTAAGTAGTACAAAGGCTTCACTGTCGGGCAACCGCCACCAGTTGCACGTGGGCTAGGGATACCGCTATAGTCGCGCTGTCCCTACGCAGGCCGGGTGGCCAGACAAAACTTGCTAGTTGTGCTCGCTGTACCAGTTTAACAAAGGAAGCATCACGATGATTAGCGAACTGGCTTTCATTATGCAATTTTGAAAGGCACATTGCAGTGTCAGTAACATTTAGCTGCTTGACATTAGCCGGTTTAGTAAAATATTAAGCTGTGTAACTTATAATGTTTACAGAAATATTTAACCTAATGAAAATTAACTTTAAAGTATGAAAGTCAACTTTGCTTATGGTTATAAAGCCTTCGTAAATTTATATGCGTAGTATATATATAAGTATTTTAACACTGTGTTGTTTTACTTTTTAGTTTGTAAAAAAAGCTTATCAGAGCCCCAAGATATTCGCCGTCTGCCCTTCGTGAACGTACACTCATCAGTTTTCGCCGCTTCAAATGTAAAGACACACAGAAGTACTTATTATGCAAATGTCATAAAATGTTTAAACTTGCCTCTGTATGTATTAACTTTCTTTTTATGAAGTTTGCTATTGATCGTAACTACAACTGTGGCCATTAAAACCGCAGAAATAAAATTGCTTTTTATTTTCATTTTATCCTTTTGAATTACGTCTAGTGGGTATTTGCGGTTAACATTTGGTATTTCGGGCACTTTTTAACCATTCAGACTATTAATGAGAAGAATAGAGGAAAATTGGCTTATTTTTGACAAAAATAGATTTTGCTTCCTCTGTCATAAAAGGTAGCATAGCTTCCTAAGGGAAACGCGTGTGTTTAGAGAAGAGAAACCAAAGTGGAATACCTCCGAAATGTTTCAACTCACACCGGATGACCGAGCTAGATTCCTGTTGTCCACCCAGTACTAGGTTCTGATCATTCTGTGGATAATATAAATTTGTGAAAAGGCAAGTCAGTTGCAGAAAAATGTCATTAAACACCAAATGCCCTAGCTTGAGAAAGAGACACAATGATATTACTCGTCTCCAAGAGATAGCGCAACTATACAATGTATAACCCCTCTAATGAATCGAAATAGATTATTACCAAATCGTAAAGTGGCTTCCAGTGTATGAACTAAAATTGTCTGAAATGAAATAGTGTATACTAACCAATGTAGAGCGCGTCATGATTGAAAATATTCGTAGTTAAACCAGGCAGTTAAACCTACCATTATCTTAACTTTAGTTATACTGAATACATCAACTTATTGAAGAAACATATGAAAAAGCTAGGTTGTTCCCGAGTCGAAACGAAGCTAAAGACACTAGCTATAGGACACGGTGGTTGTTGGTCCACATTGATGTGTGACCGCTTAATGATTTGATTTAAACGTCCGCCTTATTTTGCGAGGCGAGATAATGACGCAATAGACAACACCACATGCCATTTGACAGTGAATTTCAAACTATGACCAAACAGTCATTTCATGTCATACTAGCACAAACATTACACTGATTTCTAACCGGAAAGGCAAATAAGAAGTGCGTCAGCTAGTTGTGGCATTTCGGATAATCTCATGATTTTCAAAACTGGACCTTGCCACTGATCTCACTTCTACTAGCATGTTTTATTTTCATCTCAGATTTGTAATGTAAATCTCTAACGCAGTTTGAACTTGCTTATCAGTGACATTAATACTCACCGCTTTTTCGGATGAAGATTGTTGCGTTCTGATCAACACAACGCGTGCTTTGAAGTTCGAGTTAGATTTGTTCGCTGGAACCGGCGTAGCACGATTATTGCCTGAACACTTCTCCTCCCCTTCTGAGACGGAGTGATAACCCGAGGGGAGACGATGTATGTGGAGCGGTTTACGAAATTCTGCACAACTCATGGTTGTGTGACGATCTTGAGAGTCGCCAAAGGCGATCGATTTGCCGGTGTCTATGACCTTCTCAAATGAACGGCTTGAACTGAGCGATCGATGCGCACATGAAGCAACAGGGCGGATCGAAAGTGATCGGTAACATGGAACGGCGGATTCGGGACGGCGAAATGAATTTCGTCTATCAGCCATATTGACACAATTCCGTGCGTGTCTACCTACGAGGAAACGCATTAACAGGCGTAAAGATTACGTTAGGGTAGGTTATTTTGTTTGACGGATCGGCGTTTGCACTTAAGTCCAAGATCCTAGTATTGTCGAGGATACTTGGAACAATGAACCAGGTTCTTTAGGATCCAGTCCTACACCACTAATAAAATGTGCAAATTTTAAAGGCTAACGTTCCACTTTTACTTTGCAACCTCAGCAACGGGATTTCTGGCTGTATGCTATATTTTCTGGTGGTCAACACTCGTCGAATTCCTAGTTGTTTAACTCAAATAGCCCCATCATTCGATTCACTATGTCAATCAATCATATCAACAGTGGATTTGCAGTGCATCTTTACCCTAAATACAAAACAAATTAAAGTTGTTAAGACCAAAAGTAAATTACTAGGGCCAATTTAACAAGTGAATTTGGGAAATAATAGGAAAATCCTATTTGCTCTTCCTTATTATTATGTCTTAAAATCGGTGGTTTAACTACTGTAGACTCTTAATTTTTACCTACCAAACAGTAAAAGGTTTTCGTAATATACAACGCATTTTCTGACTTTTCATAGCGCGAGTTTACATTAACGATGCCAAGCTTCAGACTAGACTTGTATACTTTTACATACTTTCGCCGCAAAATGGACCTTATTCAAGTTGTTAACATGCATTCTGAATCACTGGTCTTACTAAACTCCGGTTTTCAAAATTCTGAAACCCGTCAAGTGAAGCCTTTCACAAATAAGAATATCCTGCGCTTGTCTATGATATTTCTCCAGGGCAATTTAATAACGCGGAGTACTGTATTCTTAAGTGTAATTTGTCAGGAAAACGGGCTTCACTGTCAAATGGGAGAGGCATTGTAGGGCTCTCTTTTAGGTTCGGTCTGGGATGACCTTGTGGCTTTCCGCAGCGGACGTAGGGCATAGAGGTTTCTGGCTTGGCAACCAAAAATGCGTTCAAAGAGGTGAGATGAACTTTTAGACAAATATGTATTTACTCAAGTAAAATAGACTGCTTTTTGAACGTAGTAAATTGGGCCGGCAAACAAAGGGAGGTATAAACAACCTTTTTAGCATATTCTTGGTTCTGTTTCAAGCGAAATGCATGTAGCAAGATGGGCAAAATTATTAGATGATGAATGAGCTGAATTATACCAAAATCCTGCATACTACGCGTCAGTAATATAAAAGCTGTCCGTATAGATTCTAAGTCCTAGGTCGCGCATAGTCGCTATGCCGAATTCCTAGTTCGTGAGGCTAGCGACCATCCTCTGCAAGCTTCGTAACTGGCATTGCAGTCGAAGATGAGCCGGGCTATATCGTAGGCAACTGTCAATCACGCAGCCCCGCGGCTGTCACCCATGACGAAGTGGCACTAGCTGCTGGTATCCGGAAGTCATGGGGGCGGAAGCTGGCAGGGCCCGCTGGAAAGCGCACCGCTGACGAGACCCAGAAGGTTGAAACGCCGGCGTCTGGTGCTATTCCATACTAGCCTAAGCCTGTTGATTGGGAGTGAGGATGATGATTTATCTGAATTATTACATGCTTGCACCAACTACCATTTGATAGTTATACCCGCCATTTGTCTATAGATGTCGATGTGAACACCATTTATCATAATAAACGAGATTATTTATACATTGTAAGTAAGCTCGGCTAATTTTACTTAACAGGGGAATCATAAAAATCAAAAGTATGTCTTTGGTCGCGGGGCCATAAATTCAGTGTTATTGACATAAGTTACTGACAAAATGGGTTAATGTGCTTTAAAAATACTTAAATTTTCTAAGCAACTATTTGACATCAACCAGTACTGCGTATCATGACAAAATAATAGTGCTCAACCTACTTATCACCTAAAACAACACCTATATGAATTTCCAGAGAATCTACTCCCTAGTGGCTTGTCAAACTACCTCCTCGTGGTGCCAGCTGGGTGGTTCGGATGCATCCCGTTCGAGCGAATTGTTCTACGGCAGCATTCCACCTCCATGAGGCATTGTACTCCAGCAATTGTGCTGATTTCATAGGAACTAATAGGCATATGTTCGATAATCTGCTATATAAAAGACGCATGAACAGAACATTTATTTACCGACCCCCATTAGGCAGGGTTTCCTGAATTCACAACGCTGCATTGCGGGTAGTCTAGTTAGACACAAAGTCAGCGAAGTATCACACAATAGAACACCTATTCTCGGTTTCGGCAACAAGGTAGTATCACACCCACTGAAAAAGCCAAGGATTACTCGTCTGTTACATCGCTTTTAGCTGCCTTGCCTACTGCTATCTGGACACCTTAATCCGACACCATCAGTTCACTTGTTACCAACCAGTGTTATCTCTAATCAGCTGATTCCTTTTTCATCGACATTAACAGTGTTTGTCCGGTGGTCTTCCTTCGGTCTCGGTCCTCCTTTTGCCCTATATGCTTTAAGGTACACAAACTCATGTAGATCCGGGCAGCAGGCCGGTATTGAGCGCAACTTGAAATCCTTTGCTATCGATGTTTGCTGTTTTCCGATACACGCTTGCAAAATTCCAGTACACTATTTGATTTGAGATTTCCAACCGACCAAGGTGCCAGATTTCATCTACGTCTGTCTGGTGACACAGAAGCAGCTGTGACAGGCTTGGCTGGCCTTGGTGCAGAGATAAGCAGCAAAGCTGAAGTTCCACTGATAGACCGGTTTTTGATTAATAGCCAATCATCCAGAATCAACAGATTTCATGCGGAGAGCCGCAACTTGCTTTTGGTTTCAACTTACCCTTCAAATAAATGCAGTCCCGACTCCGTTAATAACGATCTCTACTATGAACTTTACCACCACCCGTTGAGTAAAGTTGGGAAATCTGATAATGTTGCTGTTGTTGGATATCTCAACGCACAGGTCGGTCGTCTATTGTCTGGAGAAAGTCATCTCCGTGGTCACCATGCGCTTGATGAGAGCTGCTCGGATAATGGTGAAAGACTATTCACTTTATGCTAAGAAAATCGTTTATTTCGGTCGAGCACCAGCTTTCGGCATTCGAAGAGATGTTCCGCCACTTGGCGACCATTTCTGCGTCCCAAGCTTTGTATCAGAGTGATCATACCGCTAGCAGTTATGGATTGCGTAGTAGTATAAAAGAGTGAAAATAAATCTGGTCCACTTTTCTTGACTCAGACCATGCTCTTGTTTGTGCGAACATATGCATGCGTTTCGGGGGCTCCAAAAAATGGAACTCTGAAAGATGGACACAAATAATCAACCTACTCTGTCGGTTCGGCATAACTATCAAGCTACTCTGGCCGATGCACACAGCTGTGACCCTCCGCAAGACATGGATTAATACCGGACGTTCATGCAGAGATCCATGATATCTTCCGAGTAGTTAGTTCACTGTCTTACTCAGCTCCCCGTGAAGACAAGGATCTAGACGCATTAGTTGGACCTATTGGACCGCCTCAGAAATATGCCTGCTGCGTCTAATCTTAATGAGAATTACAGTTCTATATGTCGGAAGCTCAAATGGTGTCTAATGCTACTCTGTCAGTCAGCAGTTCAAACGAAGCCTAGGCAGTGATCGTGAAGCTTGATGGTTTCAGCGTGCTTTGGAGATAAAGGATGCTACCATCTCTGGCAACATTTGCAAGCTCTTACAGCTCAATCGGCACATTGATCACAACAAGACTGGTGACAATGATACTATTAACAAAGCTGCTGCTTCGCCCATTGCCAATCTACAGGGTTCGAACGTTTTGGTTCCCAATTCAATTTGCCCTCACCGTCTTCTTGCATGCCCTGCGAATAGGGCTGTCTGCGCTTGCTCATCACTGTTGAATCCCCAAGGAAGCAGAAGCTTTTCTTGTGATTCATAACCTGAGACGTTTCAAGGCTGCCGACTCAGGTGGTCTTCTTTCGCAGCAGTTCAAATATGCAGGAGAAGTTATCATCAGAAAGCTAACTACTTTGTTCATAAAAAGCTGGCTTGAATGGAAAGATGCCTTCTTCTTTTACCGAGTCAGGCATTATCCCGATTTAAAGAGGGATGCTCGCAATCCACTTCGGTTACCTTCAAGCTATTGCCATTACTTCTACTTGGCCGACTATCCCGCATTCATGAATCGAAGTGCCGTGAAGAACAAGCTGGCTTCCAATCTGGCCGTGGGTGCGTGGATCAAATAGTTACGCTCCGCCAAATCTAGGAACACCGCCATAATTAACTGTGGCCTACCAAGGTTGCATTACTAGGCCTTCGTGCTGCATTTGACTCGGTTGATCAACCTGCACTCTAGCGTTGTTGGCTACCGTAAGGGGCCCGGAAAAGTACCCTGTCATCCTACGTGCATTCAGCCACCCCAACTCCAGCATAGTAACGGTTTATGGCAGTTTTCGTCGTCCTTCGCTGTCAATAGCGGTGTACGATAGGGCTGCCCTATTTCCCAGCTCCTCTTCAATTTTGCGACTGAAGACATCCTGTCGAGAGCTCCGGACGGTCTCCAAAATTTTGATCCACAGCTACTACCGGGTAAACGAGCGACCAAGTTAGATTATGCCGATGATATCGCCTCACTTGGTACCAACTCATAGCGCATGCAAAGCATTCTAGAGCATATGGCAATTGAAGCATTTAGGTACGGAATGTGATTTGTCCTGTCAAAGAGTAGCTTGTCGCTTCAGAATTGGCCCGCAACCGTTCCCGTGCTCGTTATTGAAGATACACTGCGTGCAAAAGTGGATAGCTTTGTTTACTAAGATGTCTGTGTGTCTGCTGGTGGTAACATTAAAAGGGAAGTTTCTCTTCGCATCGCCAAAGCTAGGCCACCATTTATCAACTTGAAACACTAGTGCCGTCGTCGGCATGTTTCACACACTTGGTAAAACGTCGTGTTTATGATGCCGCTGTTTTCGCAGTGTTACCATACGGAGGCGTTTTCTTCGCGTGGATAACATGCGCTGGCTTTCGGCCTTCGACAAAAGGTGCTGGAGGAGGATTGCTCGTGTGTGGTGGCAACAACACATCAGCAACAACGATGTCAGACGTCGTATCTTAGGGAAATCAAGTATTACATTCAACAAGCTGATTTGGTTGGGTCCGTTAAGATGGCTTGGTCATGTCCTGCGCATGCAAGCTGAACATTTCTCTCACTGCGCACTTTTCGCTCGTGCATGGCTTGGCAGGAAGACACAATGTGGCGGTCAGCCGTCCACCTGGTGACACCATGTGAAATCGCTGACTTCACGACTCGCCACCATTTGTTCAACAGGTATGCCTGGTGGGGGACCAAAGGATGTGGGGTGTCGTTGGCTGGAAACAATTCAGGATATGAAGCGCAATCGATACCATTGGAGTAACTGTGCACATAATTGTGTAGATTTGGTCGCATAATGCTTAACGATTAAAAAGGTTCGAAAACTGAAAAGTATGGTGTGTGCATAATAACAAAATGTTGCCATTTTTGCTTCCTGTGAGGCACAATAAAGGTAATGTGTTTTCCACCTACAGTTTATACGCCATGATGTTGCTCCGTTGATTAAATCTGTTTTCTTCTGGTGATTTTCATGGTTTATTTGACCTTGAGTCTATTCAACAGACTGCTGCGTATAATACTACCACTAATAATTATACTAATACTCATGACTTGTTAAAAATTAGGTTGTCTTTTCCCGCATCATAGTGCCAATAAATTAATAGTATCGCAATGTCGGTAAGTTCTCAGAAGCTCAAAGAAGTACCTCAGCTTCTTCGGTCGCCCTGCGTATTGTTTGCAGATGACCTGAAGAGTTGGATGATTATTTATTCTCCAGACGATACTGACGTCCTTCTGCAACACCTTGGCCGCTTATCCTGGCGGTCTGCAGTAGATGACATACGATTAACCCGGCCAAGTCCTCATTTATGGTAATGGGCGTGGTACACCCTTGCCCGTCAACAGCTGCATCCCACCAGTTCCGTAACTTATCTAGGCTTTTTCTCACACTGTGAACTGAAGTCTGTTGACAACCCAAACAGACTGTATACAAAAGGAATACGCCTACTTTTGGCACTTAGACGCAGCTTATGCACATGGTCTGAAGATTGCCACCTGTCTGTACTCTTCCGTAAAACAACCCGGTGTTTGAGTACGAATCACTCGTCTAGTGTCCGTTCACAATAGATGAGGTGCAGGGACTGGAACGGATCCAGCATTTAGCTACCAGGCGCATACCCAGGTTCCGGGGTATGTCGTACTTGGAAGGATGTAGTAGACTAGGGCTTTATACCCTGTCATATCGTATGCTGTGAGTTGATTTCATAATGACGCACCGAATATTTTACCTTGGACACTTCTCTATCTTGAATTTGCTGCTGCACGTTTGCGCACCAAGCGGTACACCCGGACACCGGCACAAACGGGTGGTACTGATGGCGTACCGCTCATCACTATGTGCTTCGAGAGTCGAGTGGTGAAACCCTGGAATCAATTGCCGGATACATTAATAGAGGTGAAATCGGTGTCGGAATTTGATAGATCCTTTGACGCCTACTTTGCGGACTACAGGTGTAAGGAGCGTATCGTACCCGGATAAGATGTAGCGCAGTTACACTAGGCTGCCACCGAGCATAAATCAGCGAGGTGATTACGCGCATTTACCCGGTCCAGTTATGATGGAGCAACACATATTTTTTATCTTCCCGCTCTCTATTCTCAGTATTCAGTATTGTGTGGTCGTAAAGAACAAATTACTCAACTCCCTATTGAAGGCGAAATTGTAGAACGTTCATTGTGTGGTAAAACTGTGACACGTAATTCCAGTCAAAATTATGATGCACATTGAAGTGAACTTCTGTCACTTCGATCAATTTGAACGCAGTTGAAACGCATTAATGTTAGGTGTTTTTGGCTTTAAAAGCCGCATTCCAAGGCTAGTTTTCTACGTGCTTGTGTGCTGCAGCGGTACAAAGCCAAATTTCATATGAGCTAAGCCATGGATATGTGGTGGTTTGCACAAAAGTATTTTTGACTCCGAACCATATGTACTACCTGTAGAAATTACATAAAACATGGTAGTGCTTTGCTTTTCTCAGACATGATAATTTGTAAACAGAGACTCACCCTGTGAGTGATTACCATGCAACACTTTTAAGGTCACTCGGTCCCCAGACTGTACAATAAGATCCGTGACCATGTGGTGTGGCGCTCTTCTGACGTCGATGCCGTTCACCTGTACTCAAAGAAATGATTAATCCATGATTAATCCATTACTATCTACTCAAATAACAAATATTGAGCTGGTCCAATAAGAAACGCTTAGTCTATTCATGCGAAACTTGCATATCCTTATATAAACAAGCATTTCCAGTACATTTCATGGAATAAAACTATCTCCGTTAGTAGCACAATTTAAGCCATTGATTTCAAAGATATTGTAAGTTACCACAACGTGGATTAACACAACGCAAGGTTGGTTACATTTTCTTTGAAATTTGTGAACCGCTATAAAATGCGTACTCTAGATAAATTAGGATAGCGCCAGGGTCAAAGTTTTCGACATGCAGAGTGTAGGTACTCATCAAAAAATCATGTGCCAAAATTAATCGCGAACACAACGAGTGCTTTTCTTCGACATCCTGCTAAGCCTTCTCAATCGAAGTAACGTTATATTGGTGCATTTGTGGTAATCGCAGCGCTGCATAGCCAATAGATGTTGGGCGCAAAGTGATTTGTTTCAATAATTTATTGACTTAACATATTGCCACCCAAGTAAGAAGGGATTTTGAAGAAAGTATTTAACAAGTAGCGGTTGAAATTAATAAACCGATGTAGAAAGTATGGAGTAGTCTGTTAATATTTTCACAATATTATGCCCAGATGAGAGATGGAGACACAATCATTTGAAAGCTAAATAATTAAACTTTCAACAGACAAATGAGCATTATTATAGGAAGAAATTCATCACATCTAGGCTCACTCAGAAAGCCGTCACACGCCCGGAAAAGCACTGTACGCGCGTTTCCTCCGTTCGGGAATCGTCAGCAGTGAGCATTCCATCGGACCCCTGGCAGGGCTGGAACCCACATCTCGACTGTTGCAAGTCCGTGGTTGAGACCACTGAGCTACGGAGGACGGCAACGACCGTCGCGAATAAATTACTTGCTGTGATATAGCGCCGCTCACTATCCACTGATTTGCACGTTACTACCGTGCAGAGGACAGTGTAGCTCCCTCACCAAGCGACGAGCTTACCAAACTTAAGCCGCCAATTAACTCATGGCATTATAAGCAGTTTGGTCTGTGTACTGGTTACAGAAGAGTAGTAGGGAGAGTTGAATGTTATAGGAAGAAATTCATCACATCTAGGCTCACTCAGAAAGCCGTCACACGCCCGGAAAAGCACTGTACGCGTGTTTCATCCTTTCGGGAATCGTCAGCAGTGCGCATTCCATCGGACCCCTGGCAGGGCTCCAACCCGCAGCTCGACTGTTGTCAGTCCGGGGTTGAGACCACTGAGCTACGGGGGACGGCATTGACCATCGTGAATATGTGACTTGATGTGATATAGCGCCGCTCACTATCCACTGACTTGCACGTTACTACCGTGCAGAGGACAGGGTAGCTCCCTCATTATTTTATAGAATAAGATCTTATGGATGGTATCTTGTCCAGTAAAAAATAAGGACATTTAGACCAATCAAATGATATAAACTCTTGTCAAACAACAATGCTGCTGCTGCCGCTTTCATGTAAGCAGATAATCAAAATGTGCTCCAAAGCTACTGTATATATTGTAGTAACCACGGCTTTAAAATATATATAATTTCCATTTCAGGTACATTTACCATGCAGTAAAGAATTGTCTTCCGCAGTAGCTAAAGGAAATTTATCAAGAATTGATCCAGCTAAGTAAGGTAACACTCGGATAGGTACCGATCAATTGTTTTATCTTTTATTGAGTAAATAACAGCACATATTTCTCTCGCCTAGTGACCGTCGGAGTTTGCACGATCATGGGCAAAATAATAGTTGTCAAGCTGAATACCAGTGCCTTATATACTACTAACGTACATAGACACGGTAGCGAAATATTAGATAAATAATTCCCTAGCTACGTCATCAAGCAACCTATAACGGGATAATTAGTGCACAGCGCATCATTTGATTGAGGGTATTATCATTTTAACATATCAGATATTGCTCCTAACGAAGTTATGCAGTATACAATTTCTGTCGCAAGTTAAATATATCAGTACCAACTACTCACAACACAATCTACATAGTCCTGGAGCTTAGCATCTGGAAGAACTGCGATAATTTGGTCATGCTAACCGTGTAGGTTACAAGAAACTGACATATCCCAAACTGTATTTGTACAAATAAAGCAAGAACCGTCAAATGGGTTGCCAAATGTTCACCGCATACTAAACTGTTAAATAAACAAACAAACTGCATTATCATTGACGACGAAAAATATGTTACCAACATTGACAGATCAAAAGTATTACAGTCTATTCATTCTATCATATAATTAATTAAAACATTGGAGCAAAATTGCATGTTGGTATAAGCACCACATAAAGTTGATTTATTTGATAATTATCGAACTGTCACTGGAACAGTGTTCGTTAAAATCACATGCCCATTGCTCAGGTAAAGAATAAAATGAAACGAAAAGGGTTGTGGCCCAAATAAGATATGCAGGTGTTCATTTAGCGCGGATACATGTGTTATTTTAATTTTCTCAGCGTCATCGATACGATTCTCAGAAGTGTTGTCAAAGGATGTTGATTTCCCAAATAAATTTACCGCGTTCTTGTACAGCCAAGTTCCTATTAATAGCATGCTTGGATTTGTATAATGTATAGAAATCTTAATTTTCAAGGAATCTGTTCCAAATCTTTGAGAAGGGGATTAAAAATAATGGTTCTTTTAATTTCGTAGTAAAATTTGAAATCTTCCACTTGTCTCCTTTTTGCGTATGGGGTATCTAGTGTTCAAAGGAATGTGAACACCGATATCAGAGCTGTGTACAAAATGGCTTTTGACCATGTGAAGAAAACACTGTTTTAGCTTAATTCGACGCCTAACTAGGTCAAGTCAAAGATAAATGCAACGTTTTCATTATTCATATTTTCAAATAATGGCCTTAGCTATTCACAAGGCAACACTTGCAAGCATGCGGCACATAAGTTGACTGACGAGCCCCAAAAGGGCGAAACGCGTCTGGTGCCTTTCCGGACTAGGCTCTACTGTGCAGCTTGTAAACTACTGGGAAGAAAGCTTTAACTAAATCCTGCTACTCGTGAGTAATGTAAATTAAATCGGCTTCTTCTAGTTTCAAATGCTATGGATATAGCGGCTAGCGAGAAAACGTAATCACCTCGCAGACGAACCACGGTCAGTGATAGTGGAAGATAGGTGGTGCTATATCCCAGTTAGTTTGCAAATTACTTTGTTCTGCCGGCGTCCCATGGCTCAGTGGCTTAAGCTGCTGCCTAGTTGGCATTTGCCTCTAGCAGTCATGGGTCCAATCCTCCTTAGAGGACCGAAGGAATGCGCACCACTGATGAGCCCCAATAGGGCGACACGCGCTTGGTGCTTTTCCGGATTAGGTTCTACTATGTAGCTTTTGAACTCTGGGAAGAAGCCTTAACAGAAGTACAACGAAATCCTGCTACCCGTGAGTAACGTAGATCGATTTAAACTAAGGAAGCATAGTTCCTTCTTGATAATACTGCTTCATTTAGGGCCTGGTGCGAGGTTAGGTAAAGTGATGGCATATGTATCCCATGGTCTATTTGGCCTTTAAAATTTGAGCGTAACATTATTCAAAGTTGAAAACGACCGGATATTTGATACGTAAATTGTAAACAGCCCAGCATTTCAAATTCTACATGCCCTGTAGTAACTGTTGTCCTTAATAGAGCCAACGGCGGCCAGTATGTTTTTACTTTCTGGTGTGCACACCAAGTTAATGTCGTTGACAAAACGCTACTTTTACACCAGACGAACCGGTGCCTTAAAAGTACAATGTCCTCTCACACACTTGGCCGTGAGCTTCATTCACACTCGCTGGTCTACCGTGGTTCATATGCAACAGGCCACCGCCTGTCTGACACACAAAACTCAACCGAAATAATCGGCTGTCTCGCCTTTTGCATGTGACTTGAGATTTGGTCAATGCATTGTCCGGTGCGGTGAAAATCATTTTTCTGGCGGCCCAACGCCTCATTTTCTGCGACTATAACAGTTACGCCTGTATTGTTCCCTGGAATCTATCCTTCAGGATGAAAGAAAAATGTGAGCCAATAACACTCCTTGTATTATTCTACTAGTGACCGCTATTGGTTTAGAGAAATGGTCATGGATGCGCACCACATGCTGCTAGCAACTAGATGAGTACGACCAAGAAAATATTGGCTCACCAATGCATATTGTCTCCAACTTATTGAGTAGTCTCCGGGGAGCCACTATATCAAAGTCGTACTGCATGTTTAAGAACAGGACTATAACATTGCTTCTGTTTGCTATAGTCGCTGTTATATGGGATGTTGCACTGAAAGGAACTCACAAAAATCTTGTTGCGACTAGCTGATGATATTATCCATAATCAGAAAAATTGGTATATCATCAGTAACGATTTTCTCCATTACCATAGATAGGATAGGAGTGAGATTTATAGGGTAAAAACTTTGACAGTACAAGCGGCGCCAAATTTGGCTCAAGGATAACAACAGAAACATAAAAAACCAACTAGTATTTATTCCATTATATACAGGGTTTAAAAATTTTAAGCAAAAGCAGAGGTAATTGGCTTCTACCGATTTTTCATATAACTTGATAGATAGCCTAGTTTCTGTGTAAATCAGTGAGCATAAGCGGGTGAATTTGCCTTTGATACTCCAATAATAAATTGTATTGTTCATAGAGTTTCACCGATGATTCAGAAAAATGGTTTCAGCTACATAAACAATAGACTTTCATGTACATCACCAAGTGAATCCTAGTGGTTTCCATCAAGCATAGTGATAAAATGGAAAGAGTTATTGCGACGCTGCGTCTTTTCAGTTGGCTGATTAGAAAATCGAAGTGGCAGGCACATTTCAAGACCATACAATTCACTTGCAACAACGACGGCAATGAATGCTTAATGTGGCACACCGATAAAGCTATGGGGCAAAAGTACCACAGTACGACACAGCTCTAGCTAGGTAAAAAGAAATAAGG